AGCTGAGGAAGAAGAAAGGCTGCGAGGTAAATGAATAAAAAATGGATTATATTTATATTTCAATTGGTCACGACATTCACACCAGTGATCGTTTTGTAGAAGAGAAGGATGCAGCTGGAGCGCAAGATATGACATCGTTTTATAGAAATTATTAGATCAAACTAGTTCATCAAAAACTGCAGCCATAGAAGCAAGTCGTTCTAAGAAGTCAAAGTCGGATGCGATAGAAGATGATTCTAACGATCAACAACCAAAAACTGACAAGGAGCTTACAGATCAAGCAAGAGCAACTGGTAAAATGGTAATGTTGAATGATGATGAACAAATAGTGGACAAACGACAACTACTGTCAGCTGGATTAAACGTTATAAAAAAGAAAGCTTCTATATCAAGATCGTCAGATGATTTATCTCGCAATAGGTCTTATAATTATAATGATAGCAAAAGATGATAATAAATATAATTCCAAGAATAGCGATGAAATGCGTCGTCGCGAGAGGCAACGTCGAGAATTAGAAAATCAAATTTTAGAAGCTCAGCGAAAAAGGATGGAAGAAGAAAAGCTTAAGGAGCAAGATTTGTTAAGTAAATTGGAAATAAAGAATGATGATAAAGCGATTTCTGATGCAAGGGCCAGATATCTGTCTAGAAAAAAAAAGAATAACAATTAAGTATTATATGCTACTTCTGATCGTTGTATTTTACGGAATGATTCTCGTTAAAGAACTTTGTTATTTCAGAGGGAACCTTTCGTACATACAGCATAGTTTTATTCAGTGATTTGGTTTAAAATACTATTATTAATTTATGCAAAAATTCGATACTAGTAAGAAAGGTAAGATCACAATGTTGATTTTCGGTCGGCGAAATTCTACGAGGAGGTTCAAAAGTTTACCTATATCTTTTGGTAACACTCACCCGTATATCAGGAACATGTGTGAATCTGCGTCATAATTTTTAATAAATCTACTACGCCGGATTTAACTCATGTGATCTGACCATTTTCTTATCCCAAAGTGAATGCGGTTTTATGTCTTACATTGTATAATAATTATTATTACTGAGTGATTGACCAAAAAATGTACACAATTTAATAACAAGTCTACAAGAGTAAATGAAGTGTCTGAAGCTATATGGAAGTTACTTGTGATTACTCTCACCGAAGAAATTTAGAGAAAGATGCAGAACTTGAGAAATACATTGAGAACATAAATAAAATAAATCTTGAAAGTTTCTTTATGTAATCTACATTTGCATTGACACTATTAAACTTCATGTTAGATAAATTTATTGATGACGTAAATTTTAGCAATTCTTTCTTTAACGTAGATATTATATCTGAAATTATATTTTACTTTATTGTTACATAAAAAATTTTAACTTATTAAATACATCGATTAATCATATTAAAATAGATAATTAAGCCAATCACGTTACTTTCTTGCGATCAAAACCTATCCCTTAATCTGTAGGCCAATTTTTGACAAATTTTGATACTTATTTTTATAATGCATTTTTGAGAAGAATATTATTATATTATTTGCATTTTGATCATTAAGAAAAAGATTAACCTTGTCCTAAAGATTTAAATGAGCTAAAATATATAATGAAGAATGCATGATTAAAGAGTAACATGCATTAAAAGATATAAAACAATTTTGTTGACAAATAAAATTATAGGCAAATTTGCTTACAATACAGTTTAAGGGATAACAATACTAAATTTTCCATGACATTTTAAATAAATTTACTACAAAAATTTTTAAAAAAAAGTTAATAATGTACATTATAAAGTAAGCTTAAAAACAAAAAAAAATCCATAATTAAGTTTTTCAAGTCAAATAGAAACCACTCGAACCAAACCAATGGCCTCGTATAAAGCCTCTCATATAATTACAACAGGAACTCCAGATTCTGCTGATACAACTTACATATATTGTAAATACGTATGGTAGGATAGTATGGTGTCAATCAGAGATTTCTTTTTGATCAAGCTTATACATATAGAACTTTGAATAGTATACCATCTCAGGCAATCCAATCTAGCTCAACTTACCCTTAATAATCTATGCATAATAAGATGGTGAAATATACTGGAGATACAATATTTAACCATAACCTACATATATACTGTGAGTGATAGAAAGATAATATACTACTGTTGTTCCCTCAAATATAGTTATATGACAAGAAAATGGAGAGTCTTCGGTTTCCAATTTGACAACAAAATAGCTAGTCTTTGATCTGCCTTCTTTATTACCTATTGACTTATAAGAAAAACAGAATAAGATAGTTTTATCATTAAACTTATACTTGCTTATTCCTACCATGCTTTTGTAGATTTCATCAACTTACTACATATTGTCGCACTATTAAAAGATAACGTCGACATATTTATGTATTGTTATAGAGTACTTGTTGCATGTTATTAGAAAGTTAAGATTACAAAGTATTTAAAGAAAGAAGGTGAAAAAAAATTTTTTTACAGAAGTATTTATATATATCTAAAAGTTTCTATGGAAAAAAATTCTCATGATATCTATTGATCACATAGATTGTGTGTAAGAACTAAATATAGAAAGAACACATTATAATCTGAAATAATACGTATATACGTGTGATTAAAAAACAACATATTTACAATTTTTTATTTTATTATTTAAACAAGCATAACATGAAATAGGATATAATCAATTAATTAATTTGAATTAAATTGTAATCGTGAATGCAACAATAATATTAGAATATTCGATCTCCTGATCAATGTAAATAACAGGTAAAGATGGGTTTCTAAATTATTTGTAAGGACATAATTCAAATGTCCCTTATTATTAAAAATTTTCATTTCTATATTAAAAAATAAAAAAAAACTATCTACAAAGGTTCTTTATAGTTTTAAATATTTATACAAATCATTTTTGGAATTATGTCCCTATTGAAATAAAGAGCTAGGAATTATGTTCTTTAGGGGACATGGATGTAAAGGGATGTAAATTTTATATACTAAATACTTTAGGGACCCATCTTTATCTATACTCTTGTGTTATTCCATACTTCATGATTATATCTACCAATCTATTCTCTCTTATCTTCAAGATTATCTTTACCAGTTTCGATAAAATTTCTATTCTTTCTAAAATTATTTCTAGCACTTTTTTTTCTACTGAGTCGAATACTTTCTTAGTATCTTGGAGCAGAATCCACATTTCTTTTTTATTTACTTGTATATCTTTTATTATAGTTTATAGAATTATTCTCGATTTGGTTATTGTTTCACCTGTTATACCTGTCCAATTATTTTCTTGTAGGATTTTGTTTGCCATTATTACTGTATCCATTCTTTTTGTGATTATTTTGGAGAAAATTCTTCTTCCTGTCTCTATTAATACTATCGGTCTTAATTTGTCCATTAGACCTTGCCAATTTTCTATTTTTGAAATCAGATAAATTCATAAATGTTTCCACTCCTCTAGTGTTTTCCTATCTTTAAGAATGTTATTAATCAGATCTCTAAAGCAGTCTTGCTCTTTTTCTTCACAATTTTTTAACATTTCATATGATACTTCTAATGCTCTGGGTGCCTTGCCATTTGCTGTTTTCTTAATCACCTTTTTGAACTCTTTTTTTGATATTGGTTCCAACAATTTGTTTTTTTTTTTATCTTTATTTTAACCATCAGATTTTTATATTTCTCCAGCCAGTTTCTCCAATACTTTTTCAGTTTTCACTTTCTAATTCTATTTTGCTGATCAAAGTGCTCCTGTATCAGGTTTGTAACTTTTTTCTCTTCTAGTTTTATATGTCCCGTGACTTGGTTTCACACCCTATCAATTTGCTCCTTTGCTGAATCATGTATCAGAATACTTGATATCAGATTTTTTCATTTCTTGTTTTTTTGTCATCTTTTTGCTTTTTTCTTTATAACTTCTAAAATCCATTGTTTTCTTATAGATCTGGCTTCGATTTTATACAGTTTTCTCATATCTCTCCTCTTTTGTTCCATTTCTATTCTTTATTTTCTAACTTTATCAGTTCCATTTAGATATCTTAGTTTTATTCTCGTTTCTGGTTATACTTTTATACATTTATTGATTTTGTCTCTTTTTTTAATTGCCCCTTTCTTATCTCCTATTTTTTCTTTCTCCTCCATCTCTTTCGCAGTATCTATTGCTTTGTTCAGTTTTCTAAAAACTGTGAATTGTACTATTTTTATCTTTTTACTAAATGTCTGTACATCTGTATTTAGTGTCTTTTTCGGGATGACTTTTCTGTTGCTTTTTTCCATCATTCCTTTAATACCTTCTATTTATTGTCTGTTTCTAATATTGCTTTTTTAGTTTTTCTATTCTCTAGTTGCTTCTTCACTTCTTCTATTCTTCTCACTTGTTCTATTGCTTCCCTCCACTCTTTTCATTTTGCTTCATTCATCTGCTTATAGTCATACACTTGTCTTTCATTTGTTGTTCGCATCCTTATTATTCTTTTTGTAATTATATATAGGTCTATCTTTGTGATCACTGCCTTATAATCCGTGTTTAGTTATTGTCTTGTATTAATTATATTTGTTCCCTTGCATAACTCCTTCATATCTTCTAAGAGCCATACCATGTCTATTCTGCTTTTTGTTTCATTGCCCCAAGTATATTCTTTTGTGTTTTTGTTATGCCATCTATATGTGTCATATAGTTCAAATTCTTTAAGCATTTTGATCCATTCTTTCTTCTCCTTTGGCTCCTTTTCTCTTGTTCTATCCATATCATTCTTAGTTGTTATATTCATATCCTCTATAATAATTATACCTATTACTTGTCTTCTTCTCCATTCTCTTAAAATTTTCCACATCTCTATTGTCATCTCCTTCCTTTCTTGACTTAGTTGTAGTGAAACATATACTTGTATTACTCCTATGCTTCATCTTTTTTTGAATATTAGTTCTATGACCAGAATCTTTTCTTGCCATCTTGTTATCTTCCCAATATGTTTAACTCGGTCTCTTTGTACTATTAGGCCTACTCCCCCTGAATGTTTTTTTGTATGTATCCAAAAGGTTTTGTATTTACTGTCTTCCATTATTTTTTTGTTTGTCATACTTTTGAATTTGGTGTCAGATACTTCTATTATGGTTATGTCATCTTGGTGGTAGTAGTGCTGCAGTTGTTGTTTTTTGAACTTTTCATTTAATCCATTTATATTTATTGTCATAATTTTTATATTTTCTACATTTGTTCTTTTTTTCTTATATGTATTAATGTTTTTTTTATTATTTTTGTTGTTTTCTTGTTATAGTGTCATATTTTTATTTATAGTTTATTATGGTATGATTTCTTCTCTATTGTTTCTGCAACTGTTGTTTCTTTTTTGTGATTGCAGCCTAACTGTTTTTTAACAATTCTATTAACATTCTTCCCATCTGCTCTATTTGTTTCTCTAGTTTGTCTTGTCTTTTAGCCACTTCATTATTGATTGTTTTATATGTTGCCAAAGGAATTTCATCTTCCTTAATATTCATTTCCTCTATATAGTAGTATTGTGTTTGTTGCTCTTCTTCTCCTTCATTTTTTTTGTTCTGCTTCTTTTTGCTCTTTTTATACTGCCATCTATTACTTCTATATGATATTAATTTTGTTTTTCATATTTCAGATTTTCCCTTCTAAGTTGCTCAACCTTTTTC